AAACAATTACTTCTAAATGTGAGATATTTTTGCCCACTGAATAAATGTACTTGTGTTAAAAGTTTGATTTGTATTAATATTTCACTGTGAGTTTATTGTGTTGTAACATCACTGAGCCATTTTTGTCAGCACTCGCCTCATTCCTGCTGTTGTCCTTAAAGGAGCGGGACCTCGATATACGAGTCGAGGTTCCAGTTGTCGCCGTTGTGCCTCGTAAAGCCGAGGCCGCATCTTCCTGCTGCCCGAACAGCTCCTCAACAGAGCGAACGTCGATCTGGTACTGCTGCTGCCGCACCGCCAGCGTCCAGATGTTCGGCTTCCCGCGCACCTTCTCCTCCGGGATGGGCTTCCAGAAGAAGCTGCGCACACGGCGCTTTTTCCTTGGGTTGTGGTTGGCGGGCGTCGTCGCCAGGGGTGGGGGAGGAGGAGGGGGGAGGGGAGGAGGCGGAGGAGCTTTATGCTGGGCCTCATTTAGGGGGTCAGTCTGTCCAGACATAGAGGACGGGTCGGAGGTAGTAATGGAGGAGGTGGTGCAGCTGCTCTCCTCGCTGCTGCAGCTCTCTGGCTCATTGGTTGGAGATGAACAACTCATAACCAGAACTACAAGAGTCAACACTCAGCAAGGTCTATGCTGAGAAAGTCAATTTAAATAATCTGATGATGTTTACTTCTGCATCTGTTTGCTCTGCAGTCTAACCGCTGCTGATGAATGAAGGTGGGAGTCCCTTCATCTAGTCACACAGAAGAGAGAACACAAATCCAGTTGGTCCATCTTCATCCCGCTGGTGGTTCTCCGTCTCGCTGAGCGGAGCAGTCTGAGAGAGAAGGGGGTAGAGGGCAGCAACGGCCATGGAGCTGTAGGAGCAACAAAGACACAACGAGGTTATTCAAAGGAAGATTGTCAGATTGTGAAATGCTGACATGCAATAACGACAATTAGTGTTAAAGTACCAACTCTCCAATATTGGCTCAATATTGGTCCATATATAAGGCGCACCGGATTATAACGCGCACTGTTGGCTTTTGAGGAAATTGAAGGTTTTTAGGTGCTCCTTATAGTGTGGAAAATACGGTATTTTAAGGACCAAAATGACAATAATTGATATAAGTAACAAAAATAACAAAATCAGACAAAAGCAAATGTTTATGAATCAATTCCTTTCAACATAAAACTTATCAAACTTAAACAAAAACTACAGGTGTGTGTGTGTCTTTGTCTGCTGAATTTTTGGTTAAAACATGCTTGTTTTTCATTCAGTGGGTAGAAAATCCTTTATTTTCACTTTGCTTCTATGCCTCCAAGTAAATGAGGCATAGTTCATAATAAAATTACTCAAGTAAAAGTAAAAAGTACCGTGTAGTAAAAATACTTCCAAAAGTACACTTTTTCAGAAAAGTTACTTAACGAAATGTAATTGAGTAAATGTAACGACTGTAGTTGTTACTACCCAACTCAGACTGAATTGAATTTAAACACATGTTCATGTTACTTCATACAGATTGTTAGAGAAATAAAGTCCAGTTTTTTCTTTTGACTTCCAGCTGCGATAACTTGAGTCTGCTGGTCTCATCTTTATTAAATCAGCTGTGGCTCTCAGTGGGAGTGGGATCACTCACCCTCACCACAATGGACTCCAAAGACTCCTTTAAAATCCCATACAAAACATGCTTTATTTATTTCAAACATTATGTTAGTACATCATTCTTGCAATGAAAACTTCACAATACTTAAAACTTTACTTTACAATACATTACTGTCAGCACCAAGATATAACAATAATAAAATAAAATTTTCAATAAAAGAACTACACATCAGAATGTTAAGCTCATGAGTTTAATGATAAATAAACAGCAACAAACAGTTACTTTCTGGCAAATTTCTATGCTTCCAGAGTTTACTGGTAATTTTCCCACCGGTTTCCAGCGCTGTCCACCTGATACCCAGAGCTAGTTACTAATTAATAAAGCATACGTCACTAACCTGCTCATGTTGCCAGCATCAGTCTGCTGTTCTAAGAGCCGGACCACAACGTCACTCATGCTTTATTTATGAGACTGAGAGAACATCTGATCTCATGCAGAGTCACCCCCCGCCCAGCAAAGACGGCCACAACCCCTCACTTGTTGCATTTCCATTACAAATGTGCACAAAGCTTTGTCTGTATTTTACTAATGTCTAAAAATTACAATTGCTGTATTTCTATTAAATAAGACATAACATTAAAATCACACAAGAATAAATATGTTCCTGCTATTAGTGACGGATTTAAACAGTTACATGAAATATATTCATAATGATTTAATAGCACTTGCTTAAGGCGTTGAACAATGAAAACTTTAAGCTCTTCCTTTTCCTAGAGTGGAAGACAAAAAGTCTGTCAACTTCTTTAAAGAAACAGATCTCCTTTCTTCTAAACTTATGTGATGCAGTTAGCAACCCTCGTGCATATAACAATTGAAGCACCAGATAAGTTGAGTTTATGTAATGAATTCCAGAGTCCATCAATACAAAATCAGAAAGATAAGTTTAAAAAAAAAAGGGAAAAAGCTGGAGAAATAATGATAAAGACCAGTTTAAAATTCTAATAAATTATGGCTGCTTGGAGTGCAAAGTACTTAGAAATTATGTCTGACATAAAACCTTTAATGAGACTCATCAGCTTAATCTGATGACAGCTGAAGTGAAGTTAGTAAATACAGTAATGTTGAGCTCAGGCGGAGCATCTCTGTCCTGTGGAGGCTTTTCTGTGTCCGTCACCATCTGCTGTCGCCTTTGTTTTATGACAATCTTTTCCCTTTTAGCTGAAAATGAATTTAACCGGAAGAAGCTGTCACCACCACCGAGTCCAAAACAAACATACTTCCACTCAAACTCCCAGATGTGCAAATAGCTAAGGTCGAGTCACCAGCACCAGCCGTTGTGTCTGCCCCTGTTGCTGATTTCCACTCTAATTTCCTGAGGAGGTCGGCGGGTCTCTGCAAACCGCAGGTCTTTAACTCACACCAAGGGGGCAAAGAGTCACGTTCACAGCGGATTTGGTCGCTGTCACTTCATCATCATTACCATGGCAACGCTCATTAGCAGAAAGCATATTGCGTAAAGCTCAGCAAGACATTGCTGTTGAGGAAGCTTGGATCTGACCACCTTGATCCAAACGCTTCCAGTGCTGCAGTGTCAGTTAGTTGTTCTGAGAAGTAATAGTTACAAACATCAGACTGCTGTAATTTAAAAAGTCCAGTTTGAAATCCTTCTTGGAATTTGGTATCAACCTCTTCATGTATCGTTACTATACCAGAAGATGATGAGACTCAGACATAGTTAACAACAGCTCCACAGGGGGAGGACCAAGCAAGGCTCGTTACACAAGTTATACATGCTGATAACGGCATGGGAGGGGATATTCTAACCCTATGACTGATATGAAAACTGTCCGCACCACCTATAGCCAGTCGCAATAAAAAATAATTAGGATATTTATATGCATTTTCTGTTTATAAGCTGATCCACAAAACTATTAAAACAACTGTAATTCGGAATAATTACAACTATGAGTTCAAACATAACTATAACCTTCTGTAATCTGCTCTTGTTGGCTACCCAGATCCATAACACTTAGGGTGCACCGATTGCAGTTTTCTGGTCGATTACCAATTCCTTATAAAGCCAAACCTGCTAATTTTGGCCAATACTAAATTGTTTGTATAAAATGTTGCTAAATATAGCAAGAAAGTGAGTTGGCAACATTGGGGTGACTATTATTAACTGCAAATATGTAAACGTGACCTGGTGAGCAGGTGTATCAGCCAAACCTCTCTCATAGCAGAGTAGAAGAGGACACTGGCTGATTTTCAGCCTTTGCTGAGGTCGATAAGATCAGGGGGGAAAGATCAGATTCACATGTATCGGCCAATCACTGATGTCAAGATTCATCTGTGACAAGTTGGAGTGAAAACCTCTCGTGTCAATATTATGTTGTACATGAAAAATGCAGGTACATGTTTAAAGTCAAACCAAGTAACACCATTTTATGTCTGCTGTTTTTCTGAGAGTCCTTGGACAATCTGAAGAGGACATCATTTGGGAACATTTGCTGCAATATTGACTTATCTTCCTGATTTCATGTCGCTCACGACAGAGCGAACACACAACAGAATGAGTAACCCTGTTGTTGAAACAGCACACACACATACACACAACGCCAGCTCAAACACACACTAGCCAGGTTACTATTGCCCAGATACCAAAGACAAAAGAGCTGCCACAGAACACACACAGGGAACACAAACAGCAGCGGTGAGCTGAGCAGAGGAACCAGAGCATGTGACTGCAGGATGATCCTTAATGTATGCAGCTTCATTCTTTATGACAAGTGTGTTTTCCTCCTTCAACATTAAACATCTTCTCACTGTTTGTGTTAAATATACAAATTGAACCAAAACATCAAATATATCTTTAGCCACAGGATGTTTATCACATTTTTTTTATTTGTAAGCCGTCCAGAAAGCCGTCTCAGTGGAATAAACAGAGCACAAGGGGACCTTTTACGCCGGAAATCCTGGATTTCTCTAATACTTCCAAAGACCTGAGCTGTTTCACCGTCGTGTCTGCACTTTCTGGGTAAACTAAGGCAGACCCCGATCAAGTGAATTATTCATTTCACCATGAATCACCTCTTTCTCTCTTCTTACCCAACTGTCCTAAACGGAGTCCCTTAGCAACCCAAAGGCAAATTAGATGAGCAAGCTATGTTCACATCAAACACTGAACCAATCAAAAGGGATCAAACTCAGTGATATGCATAACTGTCTAATGGATATGTAGATTTTGCTAAACAAAAGTAGTGTTTAGATCATCTTGGAAAAGTAACCATGGCTCTTTTTGTCATGTTGTAGCCAAAGACTTTAATGCATCAATCATTTCATTTGGATTTAAAGTGATAGACCAACACAGAGTGGTGCATAGTGAAATGAAAATTATGGGAAACATTTTCACATTCTGTTCTGCAAAACAGTTCAGTTTAGTTAGACTGGATGGATCCTCAATCCCTCCAGGAAGTTGTGACGTAGCAATCACACTTACCAATGCAAGTTCTTCTAATAATTCACAAATTTTGCACAGATTTGCAATTTTCTGCAAATCTGACCAATCACCTCATTTCTGTATTTCATTCTTTTCTGACCAATCACCTCATTTCTGTATTTCATTCTTTTCTGACCAAACACTACAACTTGGCTGAATTTTGACCAGTCCTCTTCCTGCCCCCTTCTAATTTAACTTCCTATTTCTCTTGAAAGCAGAACCTGCAGGATAAAAGCATTTGTGCATACAGTTTATGTTAAATTGATTCATGTTGACCTATATGGAATTATGTTTATGCACTTTGACATCTACTCGAGACATGATTTTAATTGTATCAAGACTGCCATTTCAAGAAGGTATTCAAAAAGATCATTTGTACTTTAAATATATGTGAAACTCTTTTTTGGGAAGGTTAATTTTAACACCATGTTATGGAAAATGTAAAGCTAACCCCCCAGCCACCCACTCCCGCAAATTCGACTGCAACTTTTTTGAAAAAGACACCACCTCATTTCAGGCCACAATAATCACAAAGAATCATGGAAGGCCTGGGTAGTCTTCCACTTCTAAAACATGATTAGGTGTTGACCTGACCCATCCCATTGTAGATCTGGCTGTATGTTTAAGGTTGTTGCTGTGCTTAACAATAAAACACAGACCCCAGGCTCAAGTTCTCTCCACCCTTTAAAAGCTTTTCTTCTATGAATATCCTGTATTTTTCCCCATTCTTCTTTCTTTGAACTCTGACCCCCTTCTCTGCACCTATTGTGGAAAAGCACTGCAAAACTGCAATGCTGCCACCAGCAAGTTTGGATGGTGCATTCTGGGTAATGAGCAGAGTTAGTTTTTCACTCTACACAGTATTTTCCATGAAGACAAGAAGTGGAACCTGGCAACTTCTCCCCTTTTCTCTGGTGACAGGTCAGCAGTGCCATCATCTATCTATTTTCAAATGACACACTCTGCTCACACAGGCAAATTTGGCTAATTATGTAACTCCTAAAAGCAACTAAGTGAGGTGGATTTTATTTAGTGGTGCTAAACTGAAAGGGGCCAACAACAACTTTACTCTGCTCTGTTTATATTTTTATTTACATTTGTATTTTAAATTTTCAAATACTAAGTTTGGTCAGTGAAACATCTGAAACTCAGGGCTTCTGTCTCACTGCTCGTACAGAAACAAACAGTTTTGATTGACACAATAGGTTACTCAAGAAGGATTAACGTGGTCCACACAAAACATGCCCTGTGCTCCACCGGGTCTCAAATCTGCAAAATCTCCTTTAAGGAGATTGTTTAAAAAGGTCACTATTTGTCTAGGAAATAAGGAATGAAAGGCTAATAAGGCCAAGGTACAGCATGGTACCTCAACCATGTGCGGCTCAGACTACAGTACTGCTAAACACAAGTTTATCTGTTAAAGAATAGGGCCACGTACCACAATGCCCTTTACACTCTGTCCTACCTTATTCGTTTTTTCTCTTTGAAATATTCCAAAACTCAATAAAATAAAACAAATAGTATATATTTTTTTAATCTTCACAATGAGAACCAACAAAAGTGGTGCTCTTCATTTATTTGCTTGAGTAATCAACCAGAGACATTTGGCTAGAGATACTGTGTTTTGTAAGAACCAATGTAAGAGCTGCATCAGTCTGTCATGGTGAAGAGAGAGCTAAGCTGAAAGGCCACGCGGTTGATTTAAAGTTTGGTTCTGATCTACTGTTGAGTACTCTGAGTGTCAAGCAAAAGAACAAGATGGAATTACCTCAGAGGAGCTGGAACAAGTGGAACAAGAGATAGACAAGGATGGGCCTCTGTGACCCAACACTAGATCAGGCTAAAGTGGATGGATGGATGGATGGATGGATGGATGGATGGATGGATGGATGGATGGATGGAAATGTAGTGTTTCCTTAGTTCTATTCATGTTTTTTACTTTATGCTGTTTCTATCAGTGAATCTCTCAGCTGTGGGATCAGAAAAAAATGACGTGGTAAAAAACATGGATTCCTATCATTCTATAGCTTACATCAGCTCTAAAGCTCTGCCCCCGAGTTAAAAATGATTATGATTGCAATATGAGCCCATAGCTGCACATTCATCTAAATTGTATGGTTACTGCTAACTTTAATCTTGCTCCCAGTGAACCCATAACATCTGTAGAGTAAGACATGCAGTATAAAGAGACTACAGCAGCAGGCCTTAGGGTATCATACAGTACCACCTCCCCCCCTCTCCAAGCTTAGTACAAATCTGTTAATAACAGCCTGCGTCTGCAATGAGTTTTTCACATTCTAAAGATTAAAGCTGCCAGTTTGCAGCTCCATCAATTACTATGTGAGCAGGCTCCACACAGATCCAGCTCAGGCTTCTGTGACTAACCACCACACCTGCAGCCTGTCAGCTGACTTGCAACTTAACGTGGCATTGCATCCCATCGTCACATAACAAACCCTAAAAGCGGCGCAAATCTCCAGCAAACAAGGAATCCAAGCTAATCCTCCTAATAACTGACCCAGCCAGAAGAAGAAACACCTCCCTCATAAAAATGCTGCAAGTTAGCAGCAAGTAATTTGATGCTACAGTCTATATGTGAACAGGACCGGCAATCAGGAAGTGTATGCTTCTGCCAACACTTTAAACTTTTGAAAAAAGACATGCAGAAACAAAATGTGATGAGTCTTTCCTTTTCCACTCGTCTTACTCGTGTGAAACATAAAGCCAACCTGTCAGTTTGAGTTTTATATTCCTGCCATATAAAAGAGAGAGCTGGGCTGAAAGTCTGTTTGTGTATGAAGTATTCACGCACATACAGATAAAAAGTGACAAACAGAAGTAGAGTAAAACAAAATCAATCAATCCTAAATTAACTGTTATCACTCCTGACCACTGATACTGACAGGCTGTGGATTTATTATTTAAAAGTGTATTTACTGCAACATTGCTGTGATAACTGATTGATATGCTTGATATGCACAGAAAGACAGACAAACAGCCTTCAAAGTTTTTCTAACTTTTCATCAGGAATCCATGACTTCCTTTTCCCCTGGCATATAAATATGAGGTGGCAGATATCTGTCAACAACACCCAGCAGAGATAGTTATACACTAGCACTGATACTGGTATCAGCTGATATTAGTCATTTTTTCCACATATCAGTATCAGTCAATAAATAAAAATGCCCCAATATCTACAGCTGATATTTATTTCCATCTTTTGCCGTTAGTTTCAGGAGGGAAGGAGAGGAAGTTGGTCATTGGTATTTGGTCATGTGGCAGTGACGGAGCAAAGGATTGTGGGGAATTTAACTGAAGCAATGAAGCAGTGGTGAAGTCAGCGGTGTGGTGTCTTTGTTTTTGGTGTCAAAAGGGTAGGGAAATATACTTATATACAATATTGCTAAATATCTGTTATAATCGCAATCTTAATATCAGATATTGATTTTGGCACAAATTTCAAGTAGAACTGTGACAAATGGGCTGCATAGTTCTACATGCAACTGCGAAATTGTACAAAAGAAAATTCATCAGACAGTCAGGTCCAGGTCCAAGTATTTAGAGCCCAAATCAGCTTCAATTACTGGCTTACCAAAAAATACATCAGTTTAGTGTCTATGAATGAAAGTTTAGTTCAGATGTGTTCAGAGGTCACCGAACATCAAAATGTCCAACCTGTCCAAAAACAGTAAATCCAGCCTGTCCTGGAAAGTCCCGCCTGACTATGGAGGCAGCGGTGCAGGTATCCTGGACAGGCCATGTTCCAGAAGCCCTGTCCAGGCTTTGGTATCACCGAACAAGCACTGAATCACCTAATGAAATATACAACAAGAACAAGTAAACCGTGTAAAACTAAACCTACTGCAGACACGTAACGGCCACACGGGCCGCGGAGCTGCAGATCACAGGCACAGCTTCCAATCCTTCCACTTTTTGGTCTTTTGTTGAGCGGTGATCAGTGTCTGGCCTGCAGCAGACCGCTGCGCCGGTCCCCTCCGCTGGCTCTGGGGCCCAATTGTTGCTTCAGCAATCTGAACCTGCTGCCAACAGCAGCTTTAGGCAAACCCGCCTCTTAGTTTCACAGCCTTGTGTTGCTGCAGAGCCAAGTCTGCCACAGCAGCTCACTGATTAATCACACAATATGAGCACAACAACAACACGAGTTCTGAAAACCAGCTTTGACAACTGGATGAAAAAAAAGTATCACAAGTTGGATGAGCCCTGCGACAGACTGGCGACCTGTCCAGGATGTACCCCGCCTCTCGCCCGGAACGTTAGCTGGAGATAGGCACCAGCACCCCTCCCGACCCCACTGAGGGACAAGGGTGTTCAGAAAATGGATGGATGGATGGACAAGTTGGATGAAACACAAGTTGAGATGATAAAACCTACAAAGTGACAAATAAAGCAGCTGTTCAGGTCGCTATGGAGACAACTGCAGGGTAACAAGGACAGAACACAAACATGTTTATATGACGCTGGGGAATAGTGTTTATCCAAGAGTGCTTTAACACCTGAGAAGTACGGGGCTCACACTCACAGATCCTGGCTTTTGTATGCTTAAAAATATTCAACTTGTAAGAATGTCTTATAATCTTTAAAAATGGTCAAAATGATCATTTCTTATGGAGGTCTTTGAAGATCTTTGGCTGCTTTTCAACTCATTTTTAGCTCACTTCTTAAACATTGGAAACAGAACTTCATAAATAAAACAGATTGAGTTTTAACAGAGACCTTTTGGTGCAGTTTGCTCCTACTTCCTTAAGAGATCCACCAATGAATCAGATGCTCACTGAGTCGGCCGTCTATCACCTGAGGAAACTTTTCCAGAATTAAAGTACTAGTGTACAAGATCTAGAAAAACTCATCCATGCGTTTATGTTTAGTCGCATTGATTACTGGCTAAAAAGTCAATCCTCCAGCTGCAGCTGATCCAGAACGCTGCTGCTGGAGTTCTGACTAACACCAGGATGATAGAGCTCATCACCCAGTTCTACAGTCCTTCCACTGAGAGAATAGACTTTAAAATACTGTTAGTCACTGAACGGCTTAGCACCACAACACATTAAAGGTCTGCTGTTGTTGTATCAACCTTCCAGAACCTCTCAGGTCTTTTGGTCCTGGTTCTGCTCTGCATCCCCAGAACCAGAACCAAACGTGGAGAAGCAGCATTCAGCTTCTATGAACCACAAATCTGGAACAAACTTCCAGAAAACTGCAAAACAGCTGAAACACTCAGTGCCTTTAAAACAATTCTATAATCCCACATGTTTAGAGTTGCTTTTAAATGAAACATTCATTAACATATTTGATGTGTATTTGCTTGATGATTTTGGTGATGGCATCTTACAAAACGTAATGTTTATTGCTTGTTGCATGATTGGTGACAGTTTGATGCTTGTATGATGTAAAACAGTTTTAATTGCCCTGTTGCTAAAATAAACTTGACATAAACTATCAGCTTGATCGTCCCTAAAAGGCCCGTCTATAAGCGCTAACAAGTCACGCTAGTAACACTTTTCGGCATGGACGGGAAGATGGTTGTAGTTTGGCAGTGGAGAAAGTGAACAAAGCCATTCAGTTTCTGTTGGCCACACTTTCAAATATTGACCAATTAAAGTTGAAGCAAGAGGAATGTATAAGACATACTGTTGCTGGCAAAGATGCCATTCCTTTACTCCCAACTGGGTTGTTTACAGAGCATGCAATTTCTGGCAAGCTTCACTGAGCTGGGACATTAAATGTCATGACCAAACGTTAGCGAAAGGGTAAAATCAGACCCAGTGGTTTCAAACTTCAACAGAGACCATGAGAAAGATTTTTGCCTCGTGCGTATAAAAGACGTGATCTAAAACAATTTAGTTTGGAGTTCGTCGATACTTTGATCTTTTACTTTGGAGCGATAGATCAAACAGAATCATTCATCTTTTCCTCCACTATCTTTCTGTCTTTGCTGCTTTCCATTACCACAAACTGAAGTTTGACTTTGAAGGAAAGGTTACGTTTTTCAGACAACAAAGAATGATCAGTTCAGCCGAGTTGCCAGCAGCTCACTGCTCCCACAAAGATAAATCAGGTCCCCTCAGCGTCCTCCTTGCTGTGACGTCAGAGAAGTGAGTTTTCTGTGTTACTCTCGGCCTCCACAGCAACCAGAGGGGGTGTCGCCATGCTCCTCACTCACCTAACCCAGCAAACAGCCCAACTGACTATTTTTTTGTTTGTTTTTTATTTTTTTTTACACATGGGCATTGTTCCAAGCACTTGAATGTGCCAGACCATAAATCATTTATGCATAGATAAAAGTGTAGGAAAAAAAAGCCAAGACGGCTGTGGTTTGAGGCGCAGGACAAAAGGGAACAGGAGCAGGTTTAAAAAGCCAAACGTGGAGAAAAGAAAGGAAGGATTTGCTAGTGGCGCCTTAGCGACAAGGCGATACCATGCCATCTAACCTACCATGTGTCAGTGTGTTGTAAAAATATTCAGGTCTCTTGAACTTTTTCAGATTTTGTCACATTGTAACCTCAAACTGGGGTAAAGGTTTTTTTCTTTCTCAAAGACTCTGACACCCCTAAATAAAACTTGGTGCAACCAACTGCCTATATTGAGTGTACAATCTCATAAGCAAAACCTTGTAGTGGGAGCATCATGCTATAGGGAGAGTTTTGTACATAAGGTCAGAGTTGATGGGAAGCTGTATGAAGAACAAAATAAAGCTGGTAGAGGCTGCAAAAGACTTAAGACAGGAGGGAGGTTCACCTTCAAGCAGGACAACAACCAGAAAACAGACTCAGAACTACAATGAAATGGCTTAGAGCAAAGGATGTTGATGTGTTAGAACGGCCCAGTCAAAGTTCAGGCTTAAATCCAGATGAGAAACTGTGGGTAAGACTTAAACTCGCTGCCCATGAAGTCTGACTGAGCTCCAGTCGTTCTGCAAAAGTCAATGTGTAAAACTGGTGCAGACAAGATGCCTGACAGCAGCAAAAGTTGGATGTACAAAGAATCGTCTGAGAGGGTCTGAATGCATATTAACTCTGGCCAGGTTCCTTGTCTCTGCAGAGGAAAAGCACCCCCACAGCATGATCCTACCATCGCCATAGTTACCAGACGAAATTACTCACAAGTGGATTCTTACTTTGTGATTAAATGACTGTTGAAGGCAATCGGCGTCACTGGACTTTATTTATGTGTAATAGAGTGAAGTTGGGATGAATATAAATGTGTGCCAATTTCTTCTGATTTTTAATTGAAAAATAAATTTAAAGCAATGAAAAATGTTCCTTCCACTTCATAGTTGGGCACCACTTCATGTTTGTCAGTTGCATAAGTATACATTATATTGTTTGGTTGTAATTTGACAAAAAGTAAAACAAAAAGGGCAATTTTAGGAAAAAAAACAAAAACAAACAAACAAACAAAAAAAAACACTACGATTTAAAATCTGTAAAACACAGTAGCTGGAAGTGAACTTTGACCTTAGTTTATCCCAACTTGTAATTCATATTTTCAGCAGATAACTTCAGCTGCATTTCTGGGGAGCGATAAAGTAGAAACCTTTATGAAATATTCAAAAAATTCACGCTTGATTGATTTTTGTCTTCTAAAAATCATTCACTAGGTTAGATACAGGAATATTTTAAACCATACTGAGAGGCTTCCTGTAGTAATAAACAGGAAACTTCGTGTATAAAGGATGTCATATAATTAAAATTATATCTTAGCTGTTGTAATATAAGTACAATTTTTTCATTCATATTTGTTCATTGCCGTTTACAGCCCCTGTTGCTACAGCACATTAATATCTACACTGATATTTTTAACAGAACCTAATGTTCTGCATCTAAGTACAGTTCTGCCTAAAATAAACACATCAGGTGAATTTTTGCTCTATGTTTAAGTGGTGGACAGGCTTAAAACACCAGAATCAAGGTTACTGCTGGAATGATGTCATATTTGGATCTGGACTGCATTGCAGGACACATAATATGTCGCTTTAAACAAACAAACAGGTGTACAGAAATAAACTGCCCCAGGTCTTAGATGTGCTGTCACGATACGATGACTTTCCACGACAGAGTTCATTCCAGACCGCATGATGCGGCGGTCCTGTCCCGCCTCACTTACCGGACAGAATCAGAGAGGGCTCCGGCGGGACTCGTACTCCGCTCCGACACCTTTTGGAGTTAGAAGGCGGTAGCTTTCCGAGGAGAAATGCGTCTGGTTGTCAAATAGATGTGGAGCTCAGGTGAGCATCCGCTGGGATCCTGGCCGAGCCGCAGCGCAGACAGACTGCGCAGCAGAGACGGCAGACCGTAGCGGTGTTCTGAGCTTCCTCGTAACGTGATTGGGCCAGGTGGAACAGGCGCGTTCACGTGCCCCTCTACCCCTGTCGAGCGCGCCCGCGACAGCGTGTGACCGCCGGTGTGATAACAAATCTGGTGCCTCAGGTGAGCTGGTGTAGTTCCGGTCAGAAGTTTACATGCACTCCGACACAAATGCCCCTACCGCTGGTTATCTCCCAGTTTCTGATATGGGCCAGATGGGCAGATAGCATTAGAAAGACACACAGACACCGAATTAAAAAAAAAAAATCGAATTTATACCAATTTTCCTTGTTTTCTATTACCTTTATACATGAAGATCAGGGAGACTATTGTATGTGCAATGCACTGAATTTTATTTCATCCCAAAACTGTAGAACTGCATGACCTGAATTTGATTTTCTGTCTCCCTCAGAAAAACAAATTCAGTTCATATAAAGTCATTTTCTTCAGTCAAGCATAAATGTAAAACTCGCCTCAGGAAAGAAAAACTAATGAAAAATATTTCAAAGAATTTAACTTTTATATAAATTATGGACGTACTTATTTCCTCCATTTCCTCCATTTTGTTTAGTTGGAAGCAGCAGGAGTAATCTGTCCTCTGGTCTTTCCCATTTTGAAGTGTGGCATGAGAAGACTGCTTTAGTTTGACTTTTTGTTGATAAAATGTTGTTCTAAATGTGGTTTTTGTCCTGCCGCATAAATGTATTCAAATTACAGGTTTGATTTTTCTACATTTTTCATTTTATGGTTATGCTTCTGCAATAAAAAAAAGTAGTGTGAGTGGTCCCTGCACATATTTACCAGAGTGCCAGTAAAGGTGGAGGTCGCTGTACAAGGCAGGCTGCAAAATAAAATGGACATCATTTGCTTTTCTTTCAAAGTTTTATGAATGAAAGTTTAGAATGACCCCAATATAACAAAGTTCCATTAAAATCCTGGGTACACAAAGACAGTTTACCTTTACTCATTTGAACGTAAGACTAGTATGTTTCCAGTCCCAGTCATTTATCTCCTTTTGTTCCCTGGAAAACCATTTGCTCCAGACGGAGCGGCGTTCCAACAGGCCATGTCTGGACTCACAATCCACTTCTAGATAAAACATGTCGCTGATGCTACCATCAACATTGTTGAAGCTTTCGTAAGGATTATCCAGATCCTGTCAAATGTGTAACTGTGGGTGTGGTGGGTTTGTGGAAGCATGGTGTGTGAATGTGTGTCTGCGTGTGGGGAGAGAGAGCACCTGGATTTAAGTAAACTCAGACAATTTCCAGTGAAAAGGCTCCACACTCCTGGCCATTATGAGCTTTACAATGAGCCACTGGTGTCTGTAGGAAGACAGTTAACAAAATACAGGAAGGGACAGGTTACTTGAAAAATTGCCATTGTAAATTCTCATAGAGCATGTCTGTAGCAGTCAGGGATATTGTCTGTTTCTTTTCTAACACAAAGATATTCCTACGCCTTGAAGTCTTTTTTTTTTTTTTTTCAAATTATGTCATTACCACATACTTCACTGGGAGTTTATGATCCACAAACAAAGCAGTGCAGAACTGGGAGGTAAACAAATAAGAATGTGGTTTAAAAAAAGATCATGGTAAAAATTAAAAAGTATGGCATGGACCATCAAGTGGCCTTTACTCGATTATGCCAATTAGTAAATAAAAGTCCACTTGAAAGTTAGAAAGATGAGCCTATATTAACACAGAGGGCCTCTGGGGGAAAAAAAAGTATGCCACACTTCTCAGATTTATATTTGTGAAAATGTTAACCACTTGTTTTCCTCTCACCTTTAAAATATGCACACAATTGAAGAGGCAGACAGCTCCGTAAGGTACAGTAGCACTCCATATCATGTCGACCGAAAACCTCTGAATTACACAATTCATAATTCATCTTTTGCTACTGTTAACATTTCAGTTTGCTGCTGTAAGCCGTGAATGAAAAGTCAAACTCTGAACACAGATACAGAAAGAGAAAGTTTTATTTTCCCCAAAGAGGTTGCACAACATTCTGAATCTTTTCATCTCAGCATTTGTTAACGTAACATTATTACAAAACGTGATTATCCCCTATACACCGGTACTAGAATGTTATTCTGGAGACCTTCAAGAAAAATAAACCAACAGGCTGCATTGGTCAATCTAACATTAAAATATAGATTACAAATATATATATTTCTTTCAAGAAAATAACAGAATCTAGATTCATACCCTTTAAACCATTATAGTGGGCCATAGGAAAAATACACGACATGAAGACGAATGTTTTTTTGTTTTGTTTTTTTTTTTTTGTGAAAAATACACTTTAAATAGCCCCAATGACAAACTGGTAGCAGCCGCAAATGCTGGTCTTTACAGGTGAAAATGTATCAAGTTAATTGGATTTTGGTTCACACAGGCCTGAAAAATTTATTTTGTAGTCCTAAATGCATAATTGTGCAACACGTCTTAAAAACTAATTCATAAAGTCACTGGAGTTACTGTGCTGGATGTTTCCATCTCCGTGTGCTGTGACTGTTTGGTCCTTGGTCTGAAAACCAGAAGCAGGAGTGTTTATAGAGCAGGAGAAGAAGTGATTCAAGGCACATTAAAGTGACATAAGGCTGGTCCTTCATTTTCTGGAATCTAAGAGAATCTCTCATCCATTCGGTTTTATGTCCTGAAGATAGACGAACTAAAAGCAGAGCGTGACGTTGACTCAATGATTAGAGCTTTTTTTGGAAACGCTTTGGTTTTGCGAGAGATAAAGGAAAAAAAAAAAAAAAAGATGCACATCTCATTTAATTTGCTTTGTTCAACATGAGTTAGCAGTCAGGAGCTGAGAGTTTAAAGCAGCTCAACGTTAGCTAGCAATCCAATAGAAGAGGCTGATCCAGGTCTACCTAACGAGAAGTCCTGTGGAAAACCAAAACTTGATTTTGTAAACTTTGGTTTTTCAAATTAATCAATGCTGGAGGTATTGATTTGGGACATTTGAGGCCTTACACACAGCAGCAGAGGACAAACCACACACACCGTCTCAGCTAAATGTTAACCACATTACAAATAAAGCGCCCTCCACAAAGTGTCTCACTATCACTTCAGTCACAGCTTGATAGTGAAAATAAAAACCAATTTACAGAATTCAAGAAGGAATTTGTCCCGACAACAAAAAGCTTTTTTTTTTTAACTGTAGTAAAGCGTTCATTTCAGTCAGCTAATACAAAAACCAAAAAAAAAAAAAAAGAAAGAAAGAAAAGAATCAAGTTTGTTGTGAGATTTAATGGCAGTCCTTGTCCAGTAGCTGCCGCTGGAACGCCAACATGTGTGCTGTGCTGGAATACGAACATTCATATTCTGGAGTACAAAAGGCCGTTTAGAGTTTCATAAAGTGTTTACTGCTGGAACTCCCATTCAACAAGATCTGTCAAACAGTAGAAAAAGTGCGTCTCTTATGATTTGAAAGAACGACAGAAATGATTTAGGAAGAATAGACAAAAGGAGTTCAGGAGTTTGTTCCTTTTGTTAGAAGATTTCATTTCAGAAGCTGGAAAAGCAGCAAATTACAGGAGGAGGAAGGTTTCTGTAGTTTCCAAGGGAAGGTTTGGTGAAGCTGAGCCAGCCGGGAGTGTTTAGTGCTCTTCCAGCCAGGAGGGACTTTCCCCGCCAGGCATTTTCAACTTGATGTGGAACTGCTTGAGAGTCTGCTCCAGCTGCTGCTGGTTCCCAGCGTAGTATGCAGCTATAGCATTGTGGAAGAGGATGAGCTGGTTATGCAACACCTTCACCTGATGGAGGGACAAACAGCAAAGAAAGGACTTCAGTACACTGATCCGTACACTGAGATCTGGGCAGATTTGTTGGTCCTCTTGGGTGGAAGCTGATTTTATTGCAGCTACATAATCTCACACTGACAATGTGTAGAAAAGTGAAACTCTTGATTCAAGAATATTCATTCTCATGATTGGAGATGCTTATTTTGAAGAAATATATTTGGCAGCACAATTATCATACTCCTAGTAATCACTTAGCAAAACTGGATAATCATTTAAATTTGGTTTTTGAGTTGATGAGTTTCCCAGATCTCAATAACTCAGGATGTCTGGTTTCTCTGAGATACAAACACCACAGAGATACTTATTTTAGGTTTCCAGTAAGATGGACGGTAGAAAGACAAAAAAAAGTCTCTAAAATATATCTTGCTGTGTGGTGTTGTCAGATGAGATTAGGGCAAGACTAAAAAAAGGATAAATGGTGGAGAAGCATGGCCACTATGGTGACGGACTATGAAGCTGTTTGTTTCCTTAGAGACACTGTTAAATTGCACTCTACTAGTTAACTCAATTAACATTTCATCTGGTCTTTCAACAGATAAACGATACATAAAATATAGGGGTGAAGCGACTGCAGTTTTATGGTTGCGTTTCCATGACAAATGCGTGCAAAATGTTATCAATATTCCACTAATTGTTGAAAAAACTATTTTGCAATTGCAGTGTTTTCATTAAACAAGAAACACAATCTCATGTGAATAAGTCTGTTCATGCGATAAGTCATTAAAAACCGTCCTGCACTTCGTCTTTGTGGTTTGCACCAGTGGCAACATCCGGTTGATGATCATGTGACTTGTCTGATGTGAAAGAAAGTGCTGTTCTGTGCCGTTTTACGAAATAAACCCATTTAAAAATCGCCTCTTGCTCCTCATCTCTCTCTCTCATTGTAGAACAAATAGAGGACAGTCACTGATATTCAGACTTTTGTGGAGGAAGATAAGGTTGTTGGTTAAAAATTGGTTTTACATGAAAGCATCAGCCAACTGCTGATTTCTCAAAATTAATGAAATCAGAGCAGATTTATAAGCTGGCAAATTTATTGGTGCATTCCTAAAATCATATGGGTCAACTCACGATAGAAATATTTTTTTAAAAATAATGTAAAATGTTGTTCTCCTGGGAAATGGAAGAAGGGGAGGTTGAAAAAAAAAAGAAAAAAAAAGATGCACACACACCAGATTGAGCCATTTTGTTAATTATGTTGAATGAGGGATTGCTTTTGCCACTGAACTAATTCACTCATCTTAAAAGGTTTGATTTTTTAGTGAGAGATTATAGTACGGCAATAAGAAAAATCCAGGATTTCTACACATATCCAAAATGAGCGCCAACAAACATGTGCCTCTGTAGGTCACCACAGCAGAAGAGCCAGAAGCTAACCTTGTTCTCCTCCAGGAACTTGAGCTTCACAGAGACATCGTTCCGCATCCTTTCAAACTTCTCGCGGTGGATCTGGAATTGCTGCTGGGATTGCTCGATCTTCGGCATGGTGTTTCCATCACGTGGCCCGAGGTTCAGCTCCTCCAAATCTGTACGATATGCATCGTACTCGACCCTGTGCATGTTTAAATAAAGAACTTGCATCAGATCCATTAAAGCATGTGTTTACATTTTATGCAGGAACAATCGGCTCAGAATGTGTTCTGAACAGATTCCTTGAAACACTAGAACAGAACTGGAGGAGGAACCAAATCGCTCTCACACGGGAATTACCTGGCAGTCTCATACTGTTTGATATTAATCATGGTGTCTTCGATTGTTTTGTCTACAAGTGTGTCCACGCTAGAGATGAAGAAGTTGATGGCGCCCAGCAAAGTCTCTCCATTTTTGGACAGAAGCCTCTGCGTGTCGGCGTTGTAACCAAACTCCTCCTGAAAAACCAGATGGATAATGGCAAAACTGTTCAAGCAAACAAACATGTTAAAACAAGTAAGACCTTAACACAAAAACTATCAAGTTATTTGTTGATGGGTTTCCTTCTCTCTCAAAATAATAATAATAAAAAAAGTCCAGCTCAAACGCACAAAAGACGTCTGATTTGTCAGTGAAATCTTTACTAAACAATTCCTTTAATTGTTGGCTTAAGGAACAGTGAAGGCTTCATCTTTATGGACTGTTTTGAGTCCATCATTAAAAAAACAATAAAAACAGAAAAATAAAGTTCTATTGGTCAAGGGGTGTGAATACTTTTACAAAGCATTGAGTAATGGTTAATTATTCACCCTTTTCTAAACAAAATGTAACTGCTAATGGTGGGACTCCTCCGTCAACATTTTGTAATTGATTTAAAGGGTTTGTAATTAATGGATCGCAATAAGTCAAAAATATTCAATCCAAAAACCATTTTTGATGCTAAATTATTGAATAAATAGACAAGTGAGCTCAACAACAAAGTTATTACAGGTTTTTGATCTGTTACTGGTGTAAAGTGCTTTCTAGTTTTTCAGGAACTCCTGATCATTCATGTAACGTCTTTGAAAAAAAAATAGTCTTTAGAAATGTGGACATGTAATTGTTTTTATATTAAACATAAAGTTTGAATGCAAAATGTCTGCCTGCTAAATCCACTGCCATGAACAAACTGACATCCAGAAAATGCAGAACTGTTAACATAACAGTTTATTGTTACGTTAACAATAAAGATATTGTTAACATAACTCAGTGAGTTTATTGCTCACTGAGCTGAATGGTTGAATTTCTGACTGTAATACGTTACTTTGCGCATCCTTTTATCATTTTTTAAATATTTTTTTGATTCATATTGTGTATTTAAATCAATTCTGAATTACAAAAAATATATATATTCAAATGGTCTACTCAGAAACCTCATGACACCCTGCAGCACCATGGCAGCCCTAAGTTTAAGACCTCAGCTTGAGGCCATTATTAATTTTAACACATCTTTGTTTACATTTTTGTTATGCAGTAAATGGCCAATATGGCTGAGCAAACATATAAATGAGTTATTTAGATGTACTGATTGAAAGAAGAATTTGTTGACTAATCATGAACGCGGCTTCCTCCAGTTTGTTGAGCTCCTCAGAGCCTCCTGTAGATGAATCCAGCCAGGTGAACCGCTCACTCACACATTGACTCACATGGAGCTCAGGTGACTTGAGGCTGAGGTCGGCGAAGGCATCGCCAAGCTGCTTCTGAGTCTGCATTATTTGGGACAGCTGATTGGCCAGTGCCTGAGCCAGCTTGATCACATTCTGGTACTTTCTCTTGTTTTCACGGAGCAGCTCGATCTGCGCCTCCAGCTCCAGGTCCACAGTCTTGGAGCCGCGGCCCAGCTTCTCTGACAGGATCTGCCGGGTGCACTGCAGAGGACAGCAGACAAATGATCACAAACACTCACACTGGGAGGAGCCTAGGCTTGGAATGACACACTTTTTATGAACTGTGATGCTGTGAGAGCTCTGATGGAGCCAGCTCTACATTGTCCAAAAAATAAAAATAAAAAATCATCATCCTCCAACTACTTCCTGTTGTCTTCTTCGTTTTTGCCAGTAGTAACATCCAGCTGTTAATCATGTGACTCCTCTGATGCTGAAGTGTTTCCATTACACATTTGTGAAATACATCTATTTTGACACAGCTGAAAAACCACCTCATCCAAGTGCAAAACTTTAGCAAAAAATGTGAGTTTTTTTTTTTTTAACTGCCATGTTTCTATCAAATTTATTTGCAGTTTCATAGTTAATGGAAACACTGCTACTGTAACCAAGTGACAGAAGATAAACAGGAGGGATAAGGAGAGAAGAGGAGGAAATGGACAGAATAAGAAGAGAAGTGCAGAGAAATTTACTTTATACGTGTTGATGCTCCACTTTCTGACCAGGTCAAGTTTTTCCATGGCGGGGTTCTTCAGGTCGTCTGACAGGACCACCGCTCCGCTGCCCGGCGGAGTTTGCATTGTGCCTGGACAGTTAAACGACATTCACTTAGTGACTGAAATATTAATATTAAAAGGAGAAAGAAAAACTCTAGACAGAAGCCAACGTCTATGCTTCTTAAAACAGGTTATTCTGATTGTCAGTACTAAGGACAAAGCTCAGAAAAACAATGTTTAAGAAATTAAGAATAATCTAATTAAAATCATGAGCCTTTTCAGAGCTGAAGAGAGGATTAGAGATGTTTTATAGACATTAAGAAACTAAAGAGCAAATGTAAAGAGAACCCAGAATGCAGAAAAACAATCAAGTGAAAATTCAATAAAACAGCAGATGTATATATTTATTTATAGTAAGCAGATTGATGTACAGATTTTTAGTGAACCAGGTCACTGTGTAGATGATTATGAGTATTTCCCTCTGTTAAAGCAGACCAGTTAAATATACAGACAGGAGCCCTACAAGCACATTTTGACGCTTATGGTCTGGATTTTTAGTCGATGTTTTTCACTCAGAATGTTGGTAACAGTGAAGTGAGCCGAAATAATCAGGAGCGGCAAACAAATGTGGGCTTACTATGACTGACAATATAATGAAATATATTCTGAAAGTCATGCAGCGAAGATGCAACTGTTGCCCAGAGGTTTGAACAGGCAAAACACAAACAGAATGGCGAGAGCTGAAGTGTGTGTGATGTTTGACGATGAGGACGTCCAGAAGCTCCACACAGAACCATCACAGTTAAACTGTGGCTGAAATGCAGAGGACTCAAAGTGAGCGGAAAGAAGGCAGGTTTTACATTCCGTCTATGAACAGTGTGGTAGCTGGCACTCACTAGCACCAAGTCATCTGGGCCAACTCACCACGTTCCTGCTGGGCAGTCGATGTAGGTAAAAATATCAATTCATCAATTCTTTGAGTTCATTTTTATAATTCTAAAAAAACCCATGGGTCGCCATGGTGAGCACCTCACCCTGTCACTACATCAGCTGGCTGTCAGATGAAACAGTTATTCATCTTGAGTTTATTTGACTTTGGCAAGCAGCTATTGGTGGGCATTACATATTAATAACCTAAATCAACCAATCAAACTAAAGCAGTTGCTCAGACTTCCCCCCCAAAACACAGCTTACTGCTCTTGTTTGTCTGGAACTAAAATGGCGGCGGTGCGATGTTCTAAATTTGGCAGTTTGACATCATTTGCGATCAGCGCCATTGTGATCTTGTGATGATACAGTTGGCTCTGATACAGATGAACTTGGAAAAATCAATCTATAAATGCCTCAATTGATTAACTGAGAATTGGAATTGAGCATCAAGACCTGCTTTGTGAGCAGAGCTTCAGTCATTTGATCCAGGTGTTGGACCAGGGAGGCCCTCAAGAACTGGAGCTTGAAAATCCTGATCTAAGCTATCGAGACATTTGCCAACATTCCCATGAAACGACTGGATCTTTGTCTGATCAACTCTTCCTCCATTATGTGAGTAAGGCTCCATTTAGAGTACTCTGTGCCACCTTCTGCAAGGATAAAATACTGCGAGCAGGAACCGCCAACAAGTTGGAAATGTAAAAGGAATTTCTCCCAGATAAAGCTTAAGGTTCTAAAATTTGTTTCAGAAAGATTCGCATCTAAATCACCGAAAAGAAACTAAAGACTATTTCAGCTAGACGTGCTGATGTAGAGGAAATATTTAGAGAGCCCACAAGCGAAAAAGGGAAAGAGTTTTGTCAAGAATGAAACGCAGCCCGCAGAAACAAGCAGAAGATTAAAATGCGTTGAGTTGTGATTTATTATTGTCTAGTTGAAACATTGTAGCTTCAGGTACCTGAATCCGCCTGACTATCGCTGAAGGAGCGCGCCAGGCGGCTGGCGACAGCCGAGCTGGAAGCTACAGGATTCACAGGAGAAGAGGGCAGGCTTGCCGACTCTGGGAAACATTCACAATTATGATTCAGCAGTAGATTTACTTCCTGCCATTAAATTATAAACAGGACTATCCCCATCAGTGTTGACCCCTCTTTACAGTAGAGTTTACACTGCAGACAAGAGTGCAAAATGTACAAAAGGGCTTCCTGAATTGCTGAGGAGAACAACGTGGAAAATAACCATGGGAACACTGAGGTGAGCAGGCTGCCACAGCTCTCTGCTCTGCAGGGAGGCTTTTATTAGAATTTCTAACAAGCACCTGATGATGAAAAGGACATGAGGGTTAAACCAGGAGATCAGAGCAGACTCATTCAATTCAAATCAGCGCCCTCTTTCTCACATTCAAATTTGTCTTTCAGTAAGGATTAAAACAAAGGTGGAGAACTGGGACACGTGCAGATTGTTAGGCCTATTATGAGCATAAATTTTGTGGGACGATAAATTGTCACAGTAATGACTGCGATACATGATAATATTGTTGCTTGAGAGCACTTTCAAGTAATAAAGTGATAATGACATAAAAATAGAAATTCGCTCTCTCAAAGATTAATAAAATCTAATTTTGTAAAGAACGCCTGACACTGGAACTAGACGACAGCCTAAACAAAAAACATCAAAAACAATAAATAAAACGAACATAAACACACTACTGAAACCAGAAATAAAATGGATTGTGAAGTCTCTAAAAAAAATTGCCCTTCAAAAAAATATCATCAGAATGGAAATGATTAAGTTCATTTTATTTTATCGTGTGACTAATTGCTTATTGAAATTGGCTTACAGATTGTAAACACAAAGAGCTGCTACATGAAAGACTGACTAGAAGACTCCTGCTTCAAAAACTTAACAGTCACGGAACAGAAAGACAAAAAGAGGGAGAAAACAGGGGGTGGGGGTAATTGTTTACCTTTGTGTGGTCCTGATTCGATGATGCCCTCTGGTGGTGAGACAAAGCTGCTGGCAGAGACAGAAGAGTCCGAGACCTTCATGCTCCCTGGAGGAGCAGAGTGGGAATCCTGTGGAAATGAGACTTGTGTTCACAGTGGAAGTGGAAGCTCAC